GGTCGTCGACGATAACTCGCAAGTCGACGCCATCGACGACGACCGTTTCTGTAATAGCAGGTAGATCTATTCCGGTTTCTAAACAAATTCGAAGCTCATATTTTTGCAAAATACGTCAATGAGATACGATTTTATTCCCAGTTTTTTTTTTATTTTATTTGTAATAAATCTTATTATTGTTATCTTCTATTTAAATATGATGACAGAAGATAAAATAAAATTTCTTTTTTTTTCATTCGACTCAAAAAACTTTAAAAGCTCTGGGTCAGTTCTTTTGTTATCAGCTTGATAATGATAATATAAATCTTATAAATATAAATAAACTTTTTAAGTAAAATTAACATATTGATATATTTTTGGAGTTACAAAACTTTTTTTTATTTTAATTATCGATGAAATATTAATTTTTCAGATCGTGACGATGTCGATGACGGTCCCCAGCGCCGACTCGGGACGACGTAGATGATAATAAAAAGGGCCCTCGCTACACGGCCGTGTGATGCGAAACTCTGACGGCCCACTGTCGTCAATTTACTGATTCCCGAAGTCGCGTTTGTTGATAAGGACCGACTATCACCGATTACATCACCACGTGAGTGTTTAGTCAAATTATTCGTCACCGATCAAGTTCACTGAATACCACCAAAGACGATCGCTCGTTTACGAACGATGGATCGGTCGTATATATCTTGAGCACGAGTGATTCTTCGTGGCAACAAATTGCGTCAATGGCACATGAGATATTGAGCTAAGTTTTGCGATAGAGCGTGAGATTCTTAAGCACATTTTAGACAGTCTGTAATAAGAGACAGAATTTGGTTTAAACAATTTAATTTTACAAACGCACATGCATAATGCAAAAAGAAATTCGAGTAATATAAGCTTTTTTTATTATGATCGAGTTTTTATAAGAGGATGAAGATTTTTATTAAAATTATAGATAGATTTTTGCCGCACACAGAAATTCTGTTCCGAACTACGGACGGTCTAAAGTGGGTTTTAGAGGCGGCTGCGCGTATATTTTAACGTAGTCGTTTGATCTATTTTGGTATATACATATATATATATATGTCTGTATAAGCGATATAGAGATGAATCGATGTACATATGTAATACGTGACAATGACTGCCGATGCACGCACTCTAATAGTTTTATATAAAACGCTAGTGAATAATTAAAGTGTATCGATCTCAATAGATTTACAAGTGAATTAATAGCAAACGATTATACTGATCCCAGTGTTCACCGGATATATCAGAGTTCTATTTTTTTTTTTATCAATACTATATAATCAAAACTGCAAAGAGAGATGCGTCAATGTTGATACATCAACATTACGTTACATTTAGAAGGTATTAAGTTTAGATACGCGAGATAAAATTTTGATTTCAATTAATAGACAATTAATTAATTAATGAAGACATATTGTTTAATATGTCGTTATTGATTAAAAATTAATACGTCATAAAAAATAATATGATGTCTGATAATTCATAGAAAAATGTCCAAAATTATAAAAAAAATTATAATAATTGAAAAGATCTATTTTATATCTTTTGAGACACTATATAATAAAGTAAAATTGTATTAGAATTTCAGACACGCGTGGATATAGTGGATGTTATTCATTAATTCGTATAATTGAACGGAGTACAATTGTACAACATAGCATCGACCAATAAAAATAGATTTTAATTTAGTTATAGATAATCCTTAAGATAAGAAAATCATGAAATAATATTTGGGAAAATAAACATATTTGCAAACAGAAAGATTTACAGATTTAGATCGATAAATTTACAGGTCGATGCTTAATACAAATATATCGATGTATATGTACGTTTGTCTTCGACGACTTGCTCCGATTTATAAAAATTAATTTCGATACGTACAAAGGTAATACAGAAGAATTACCCAATTATATTATAGAATTTTATGAACATGATAAGTAGAATGAAATATTTATTTCATATGTACAGATGTTAAAATAAAATTAAAGTTCTTAAAATAACTGAATTCTTTTGGTCCCCAAATTTTACTTAATTTTAGTTAGACATTCATTTTTCGAATAAAATTCCGTTTCGATAGCTAAATTAATAGTATTAGTATTTAGAGAGCTAACTTTTTAGCCTATAAAATTATAAACAAAATTACATTTTAAATTGTAACACAAATTTTAAGTCAAATAGGTTTCGTTTGACTATACTTACAAATTTATATGTTAAAGTAATAAATTTGCAACTTCTTAAATGTAAGAATAAAATATTATTTAACTCGATTTTTTATTTTATTATACGATGCATTGTTTTCCTTCTCTCTCTCTCTCTCTCTCTCTCTCTCTCTCTCTCTCTCTCTATATATATATATATATAAATGAGAGAAATAGTATATATTGCATAATGATTGTATGATATTATTGAACAATTAGTACAAAAAATTAAAATTAGTAAAAGATCTTATTTTTACGTTTTAATTCATAACTATAACCTTAAATATATATAACTGCAGTTTGTATATATTACAAAATTATTACTTTTATTGTATGTTGTTGAAAAAAATAAACGCAAATACAATTATATAGTTAGTTCACATGTAATTATAATTATCAATTCATGTGTAGATCTAAATAATATTGTTACTACATCTGTCCACACTGAGATATCGTCACAGGAATCTTTGGTTTATTATTTGGTCCAGTAGGAACATTTTCTACCTTCCTCATGACAAGAAGACCATCAATAACTCTACCAAAGACAACGTGCTTGCCATCCAAGAAATTACACTTGGCACACGTGATGAAGAATTGACAGCCGTTAGTGTCTTTACCGCTGTTTGCCATAGACAACAGACCAGGTGAGTCGTGTTTCAATGTAAAGTTCTCATCAGGGAATGTTCCACCGCTGTAAATGCTCAACACCCCGGTACCATCGCCGTTGACAAAGTCACCGCCTTGTATCATAAAGTCCTTGATTACTCTGTGGAAGATGGCACCTTTAAAGCCCAGCGGAACACCATCCTTTCTGTATTCCCCGGTGCAAAACTGTCGGAAGTTTTCCGACGTTTTCGGGCAGACATCCTCGAATAGCTCGAAGATCATGCGACCTATCTCCGTGGTTCCCACCGATACGTCGAAGAACACGACTGGGTTATTGGGATTTCGCAGCTGAGCCTGAATCTGGTTCCAAGTAGGCATGATTACTCACGGTGCTCTTATCTCTAACTTATTGCGAACACTTGTAGTAGAATCCTTGAAGAGCTTTGAAACTTGGCCTTGGAGTGGTTCAGAGAGAAATGTCTTTCCTATCCGTGAAGGATCGACGCAGATAAATATAACCTCAAGTGGTGTTATAGGTTAGGTTTTTTCCGGAATGATTCTGCGGCGCACAATTTGCACAAAACGGCTAAAACTGATATCCTGAAGCAACGCCAGGAACAAAAGACGAGCTTCGAGCTACGATTCACGATACTGTCAAAGTATCTCAACGTAAATACACCATTCAGCGACCTCCGTGATACCGCAAGACCGACGGCACGGAACGACGAGAGGAGCGTTCTGCGATACGTTAATTTCCTGGATAATTAGAGAAAAGTCACTCGCTGCGTGACACACGTCTTATATTATAGCGGGATGATTAATAATATGAATATAAACGGTACGAACATCAAACGCATGGTAAACATGCGTCGCAGTGATGCTCATTTCGATCAACTTACCTTACTCGGCAATGAACCTCAGCGACAAAGATTTCACGATGAATCTCAAATAACGAAGTGACGCATTTCTCTCTTCTTTGAAATATCCTCGCGGCGACTCAAAATGGCACTCGTCGAGAAACTTTAAATTAAGAAGCAATGTGACCGGCGTCCGTGAAAAACTACCCGCGCTAATTACGCATTGTGCACGTACAAGTTGACAAAGCGGCCAGCCTCCTCGCTGAGCAAATAAACATAATTGGTTGTTACGTATAGATCCAACCAATCATATTCAATCGTTCGGTAAGCATGCATAAGCCGCTTTGCCGTCTTGAACTCGCCTATTGTGTACTACCGGTACTGGCAAGGTCACGTGACCGTACGCGCGAATTTTAAGCCCATGGCACATACAAAAACGTAAGGCCGTAATACGTAAGCAG